AATTGTGCAACCAACAAATTCATCACAGTTTCCGCAAGAAGTCCGGTTGGTTAAAATCTATCCACTGTCCACTGATGGAGTCCTGAGTACGAAGCTGCTCGTGGCAACCGCAGCCCCAAAGCCACTACAGCAAACGCAGTCCCAAGCCATTACAGTACAGCTCCCCATATGTGATCCCCAAACCATCTCCACAGCCCCCAGGTGGCACCACCCCCAGCAAACCAAACGGTTCTTCAGGCCGTCCATATGGGGCCCCAGCAGCAGCGAGCGAACTCAACCGATGAGAACTCCAACCAGAAGTAGGGCATCAGGATGGGTCAGACAGCGAGGAGGAGCAGAAGGGGTCAGGATCACTGGCATCTCAGAAGTAGCATGTGTAGCTCGACTGAGAGTGAGGGAGAGAAAGAGATGGAGAGAGAGGAAGAGAATGTTAGATAAGCTTTGTCCTCTAATGGTTAAGCACAATATACTTTGCATGCAGAGAGCAAGCAGGGACTCCGGCAAGACTAGCTATGACAGCATAACTAAAAGGGAGAGGCAGAAGCTAACACAGACATGTTCAGTGTACATTCAGAGAAAAGAGTGTGTTACTACAGGTGGTTTGTATAGCCCACTCACCTGTGTGTAGCACACTCAGAATTGCACTAAAACAGATTGTCCGTTTTTCCATGGATTGGGGGGAGGGAGTGAGGTGTACATGGTTTCAGGAGGCGGGGTTGTAGATGAGGTCTCAGAGGGGGACAGGGAGATCGGAGTTGAGGGCTCTCACAACCTGGGGGAAAAAGCTGTTGAGCAATCTGACCGAGTGAGCTTTGATACTCCGGCACCTTCTACCTGATGGCAGGAGCTGGAAGAGATTGTGGGAGGGATGGGTAGGGTCCTTCACGATGCTGGTAGCCTTGCTGGAGCAACGTGCAAGGAAAATGTCCAGGATGGAGGGGAGAGGGGCACTGATGATCTTTGCAGATGTGTTCACTGTCCGCTGTAGGGTCTTGCGGTCAGCAGCACTGCAATTTCCATAGCAGACAGTGATGCAGCTGGTCAGCACACTCTCAATGGTGCCCCTGTAGAAAGCGGTGAGGATGGGTGGAGGGAGACTTGCTCTTTTCAGCCGGCAGAGAAAGTGGAGGCGCTGTTGGGCCTTCTTGTTGAGTGACATGGTGGTTCAGGTGAGATCCTCTGTAATGTGCACTCCCAGGAATTTAGTGCTGCTGACTCTCTCCACGGCCGAGCCGTCGATGGTCAGTGGGGGGTGGTCAACAGAGTTTCTCCTGAAGTCCATACACATACCAATGTGAGTCTTACTCACATTGAGGGATTCGGCCAGCTGTGCCACTTCCTCTCTGTAGTGTGTTTCATCGTTGTTTCTGATGAGGCCTACCACAGTTGTGTCATCAGCAAACTTGATGTGGTTGGAGCTGAACTTAGCAGCGCAGTTGTGAGTCAGCAGCGTGAAGAGCAGCGGGCTGAGCACACAGCCCTGTGGGGCACCTGTGCTCAGTGTGGTAGTGCTGGAGGTGTTTCGGCCGACACGGACTGACTGAGGTCTTTCAGTTAAACAGTCCAGGATCCAATTACAGAGGGGTAGGTTGAGGCCTAGCAAGTGGGTCTAGACCTTTGTCTCAGGTGTACCAACAATAGTTCCACTGTTGGCCCCCGACCTTCTTGGGGCTCAATCCTTATCAATCACAGACCCTAAAGAAATAGCTGCTCTGATCCAAGAAGTTTGTTCTCTCCAGCATAGAGATGCGATCGAGAGAGTAGACCTCATCATTCAGAGCAAGGGATTCTACTGAAAGTATTTTCTTGTTTGAAAAAGGATTGTAGTGTCCATCCCTTTTTGGATTTACTTTGTACAAGTCCTCCATTATATCTTGAACTTCATGAAGATGATGTTCGTGCCATGTAGCCACAACACTGGTTTACATCAGTGGACCTGCACAATACATACTTCTATTGCTCCAGAACACAGTGCTTCTTGAGGTTCTCATTCCTGGGAAAGGTGTACCAGATTAACGTTCTAGCATTTATCAGTCATAACATACATGGTATACCTGCTAACAAATACACTACTGTTAATGTTAACATAATAGCAAACTAATTTCAGACTGAGCCAGCTGAACAATATGGTCTGACAGAGAAATAAAGCTCTGCATTTTAATGGTTTTTAAATCAAGTTGGTTAGTCTACTTAAAATAGTGATGCAGCAAAATGAATATGGTTAAAACTTTTTTTTTTTTTTTTTTTTGCTTGAGACTATGGCTAAAGGGGCACTTGCTATGAACATATGTACCATGAAATTGCTAATCATTCTCAGTTGGTCTACTCAAAGCATCAGGTAGAGGTCTCAAAATAAGATCTAAGTTTAGTTTTACACTGTGATTCCAAATGGAGGTATTTCATCCCCCACGATGGTTCGCTACACACGAACATTTCAACACTGACTCATTTTTGAGATTATCCATTTACCACATTTATGACAATTTTGTCAAAACTGTGTCAGTTACTGACAATTTTAGAGGCAACTGTGGGCAAGCACAAACAGGCCACTCTGTTGTGACCCAGATACCCTTCCACCCCCACTGCTGGAATCCACCAGTATATGTACCAAAAATGCCTCCTATTCCTCCTCTTACTTCCTGTTTCATCCCGCCAGATAGGACTACCAGCCACATGTATCATTGTTACTTTACCTAGAGAATATGGAGACTGCTTAGGAGTGTCATCTTGCTCATTATTACAGTTCTCCTGATTAAGTGTGGCTAAGGAGTATATTTGGTGCACTTCCCGAGCCTACGTTACTTTAATTCTCTGTGCTTCTTGGTGCTATTTATTGGGTTTGCCAATACCACTGCTGCTGATAATAATAATAATAATAATAATACATATCTCTTTACTCCTCAAATAATTTTAGCACTTCTTTACATTATGATAGTTCCTAACAATTGTTTATAATATACACACATTTCTAATATTTTTTTTTTCTTTCACTGCTCCAGCATTAAACAATGGCCTGTTGCAAGTCTTCTCCTGCTCCTTGTGTCCACTTTCCTATACGTCTCAAACTGAACTCAACAAACACATCCAGAGCTACCACTACGAGGAGTATGTGAGGCAGCAAAAATCAGGAGAGATTAAAAATGAGATTCAGGTGCCCACAAATGGCTCCAGTGATCAGCAAACTTCATCTAGTACTCTTAGTTCTAACACTTCTCAGAAAGAAATGCAGAAGAAAATTCACCACTGCTCAGAGTGTGGAAAGAGTTTTACTAATCAGAGTGCTCTCAAAGCACATCAGTGCAGTCACACTGGAGAGAAGCCGTACTGCTGCTCACATTGTGGTAAGAGTTTTAATCATAGGAGTGTTCTCCGAAAACATCAGCGCATTCACACAGGAGAGAAGCCGTATCGCTGTTCACAGTGTGGTAAGAGTTTCATTCAAAAGAGTGATCTCCAACAGCACCAGCGCATTCACACAGGAGAGAAGCCGTATCACTGCTCACAGTGTGGGAAGTGTTTTAATC